CATCCTGCCTCTCAAAGATGCACAATCTAACCTCTTTAAAAGTTCACTGAGTAGAACCTTATACTTTCATTCTCCCTTGTTCCCACTTTTTCTTTCTTCCTTGATTTTCCCTTTTTTTTATTTTTCCTTGCTTTCCTCCATTTTGTTTTTTGTTTTTTTTTCTTGCTTTCCCGTGTTTCCCCCCGCCCTTTTCTTTCCTTTATTTAATTTCTTTTTCAATCTAGGAAAACTTTTCTAAACTAAATCCCTTATCCATAAATATTATCTGTATTCATGTCTGTTATGTGAATAATATTCTAAACCACAGTTTTTAAATCTTCTGCTCTTTCAGTGCATTTTATATTTGTCAGTCTCATTACAGATCTCTAAAAGGCTTTGATTGGTGGTTTACACAAAGGGAGATCACCAACTCCAAGAGTAATGTCCCTTATTCAGAATATAAAATGAATGAAATTATTGACAACACACATCATATATTATAATTTAATTCCTACATAAAAGATAAAGTAAGAATTATGGTTAAGAATTAAGTTGTAAGTACAACTTGACTCTCTTTTTGAAAATGTTACTGTTTATGATTCAGACATACTTTGATTCACTGAGTAACATTAAATGGAGAAGTTCATTTGACTTTTCACTCATGTCTTCTTTGTTTTTCTCTTATTTTTACTCAAAAGACTTAGTGTTGTGGAGTAATTGGCAAAAATACTCAACAGATGGAATTGACAAAGTTTCTAATAAACAACAAGCAAGAAAAAGAACAGAACAAAATAATACAAAACAATATATATGCATGACAAAACTTGACACGCAACAGTAACAAGGCAAAAAAGATCTCAAAGGAAGAATGGTGTTAACATGCAAAAGGGATACAGTCAAGTGATTATAGTGTTCTGACTTCAAGACAAGAAAGAACAAAAATATGTCAGACAAAACCAAGAATTGTTTCATTTTTATTGGTTAGAAAGAAATCCCAGCATGCATCTGTAGAGTGAGTGGCCATCGTTAAATGTAATGGACATGGCCTATCTCCCCGATGAAAGAGGCACAAAATCGCCCGTGTGCCATATATGTTCACATAAATTACCTAGTGCCTTAAGACTAATTAAATGCCTGTAGGTAGACATGAAAAAGAAATCTGCATAACTGACTGAGGCACACAAAAGCCGGCAGATTTGGTCTTTGGCAGAATGAAAGATTATGGACATGTTTTGATTAGCCAGCTGTGAGGTCCAAGGACAATGATGTGGCAGTGAGAAACAGATAAAGATATATTACTACAGTAAAGAATCCTACAGAACTGTTCAACAAACAGAATTGACAAAGTTTACAATAACAAGAAAAAGAACAGCACAAAAAAAATAAATAATATAAAGCAAGCAAACAATAAATGCAAGGTAAATTAACAATAATAAGGCAAAAAGTTAAAGAATTGTTGTTGACATACAAGAACGAATTCAGTTAAGCAAACGTAGCATTATGACTTCAAGACAAACTGGGACTGAATCAGATGACTGGCCTATTTTATTGGCTAGCAAGAAATCCCAACATGCATTTCTGTGCTTCTGCCTATAAATTGCAGAGAGGGTTGGAACCAACAACATTTGTAGGATTTGTCGATAAATTCGGGGAGTGGGGGTTGATTTTGTAGTTATACAAACTGGAACCAATATAAAAGCATTTTTATTTTCAATTTCACTAAACTGTTAAAGTAGGTTTCAACTATTTTACTGCTCAGTGTTCAAGCTGTTTTGAATGCTGCTTTTCAGGACAAATAAGTGATTCCCATTTGAAAGGCCACTACAATCATTCTGTCTCAGTTGATTTCAGTGTTAGTGTTTCAGTTTTTTTTTTTTTTTTTTTTTTTTTACTTGCTGCATATGTGATTTTTGCAACAAGATGACTGTAACCATCATTGCATATTAATATACATGATTCCAAAGAAAAGAGTTATTTGGACATTTGAATTCTCCTTCAACATTTCAGCCAATCTATTCTATGGTCTTCTTCAGGTGTATAATCTTTATGGAAAGAGAGGATTTCTTTTCCCTACAATGTAAACCAGAAAATATGAAATTTTAAGCCATCACAGTGTTCCTTGTAATTATTCTACTGTCATTAATGCATGCTATCATACTTATTCTTTAATTTATACACTGCAAATGTTCCCCTTCCATACTTTCAGATAAAGTATTATTCATCCTGGATAATAACTGTTTCCTTAACAATTGTACCAATATTAGAAATATTAACCTTTTTTTTACTTTGCATGTGACTCCTGCCACTGAAGTTGATTCTAATCCCTGAATTTGCATTTCATAGTTGTGTTGTCATATCCTGCTATGGCAACAGATACACTTTTGGGTGAAATTAATAAGATTATTGCAATTGAGAGGCTTTTAAAAAGAATTCAGTGGAAAGGAAAGTAATATTAATAATGCAGAGTGCTAATGGTTTAATATTCTGTTTATGAAGGACACATTTTTTACTTCAGAAACAAAATATATCGACAAGAATAAGACTGAGCTATGGAATTTCCACTAGTCCTTGTAATCTCCAATGTTCATATGGATTTTTTAAAGATCGTGGATAGTACACATTCTGGCTCTACTTTTACCACTCTCTTAAAAAAATAGACCAATTTATTATGGGTCAGATGTAGAGGAGCATGGATGGACTTGCTTTCTTTTTTTCTTATTAAGTCTACTAAAGCTTTTGTGTATGTGTGTGTGCTTTCATGTATGTAAATCAGGTATAAGGGATCTGCTCTCTGTGAAATGCATTTTTCTATATAAATGGCAGAAGCCATACTGTCACTTTTAGCTGTAATCATTTCACCCCAAGCAAGGCAATAAAGCCACTAGGATGCAAGAGGTTACAGAGCGGAAAAGAAACAGAGGACAGGATTCACAAAGATAGATGACAATTGACATTGCATTTAAATATTTGAAGATCATAATTGGCAGGAAGCTGGAAGAGAGTTCCACAAGCAAGAAGTGTGAGAGAAGACACAATTATCATTGAACTTTACACGGTTACTGCTGGCACTTCTAATGTGAATACTAATATTGATACTAATGTGGATATTACTAGTTTTGTTTCTTTCACCCTCTCTTGACCTATTTACCATCCAGATCTCTGTGAATTCTGGTTTAAAATAAACTTATCATTGTGAGGGAGAAAATTTCAGACAATGGATGAGATTAAGGAGAACATGGCAAAGCAGCTGATTCTTCTCTCTTCTATGTACCATGTCTCTTTGGGTCGTAGCTTACAGCCAAATCAGGTTGAAACACTGGTTTCCGTACAGTCACCAAAGTTAAACAATATTGAGCCAGTTCAGTATCTACAATACCAAGTGCTATAAGCTTGGATGTGCAGGTGGTGTAATTAATAATGGCTTGGAATTGTTAATCGGAGAGCTGAGTTCCAATTACCATTAGCTTCATTACATTCACATATGTGCAAATACCCTTGGAAAAGGTATGAACCTACCTCTTCACCCTCCAGCTATGGGTTAATTAGTAAGACTTGTATCACTAAACCATTATCATCTCAACAAAAGAAAATTCTTACAATCTAAAAATATTTTGGGGCTTTAAATAACCTGCAAAGGGTTAATAAGCCATAGAAAACAAGTCAATCAGTCCTTCAGGATGTAGGCAGTGATGGCTCTCCCAACTTCCCATCTTTTGTAGCTCTTAGTAACATTTGTCTTCTTACCATCCCTCCTATCCACTCTGTTCCACCATCCATTAACTCAATCTCGTCTGGCAGGTGGCCTGCTGCCTTCCTCTGTCTCTCTTGCCTTCTATATGTCCTGTGAATGTCAAATTTGCCAAGCTCTCCTTCCTGATTGTGTCCCAAACATTTCAACTCTCTTTCTGATTCTAAATTCAAGCGTCCTTTTGTTTCTATTTTCCTTAAAACTTCATTATTGCTTACATGTTCTGTTCGTTGGCGTTCTCAGCATCCTTCAGCAGAATCACTGTTTTCTCTCTTCATCTTTGAGGAAATTGTCTGATATTCACTGCCATAAAGGATGATCGATATTAAATAGCAGTTCAGAATTCTTTGTTTCTCATGAATTTTTCCTATTTTTTAATAGTTTTTTTTAATGAAGCCACTTTTGCAATTTCACTGTGTATTCAGATTTTAAAAGAAGACTTTGCATCTTGCTTTGAAAAGTAGAAGGGACAGTGAGATAATTGTATGAATTCCGAATGTACTTTGAAGGGGACAAAGGTGCCATTACCCTAGGTAGTCTACTTTTAATGACAGACTTTGCATAGCTATTTACTAAGCTTAATGGTTATAACTGTGGAAAATTAAACTCCCTCTAATAATAATGGTCTGCCAAGTTAGCTAGTCAACCATTGTTTCAGGGCAAGGCAGCCAAAGAGATGGTCACATGACTGCTTGTTGTCTATTAATAGTTTATAATGTATGCTTGGCACTTTGATCAATAAATTAAAGGAATTTGCACCTCTGCAGGTGTTAGCTACTGGCTGGCATATATGGAAGGGTCATGAGGTTGCTGCCAAAGGTCAAGTGATATCTGATCATCATCATCACCCCCCCCCCCAGTAAAAAGTTTGCACTATGATCAGAAGGTGGAATCTTTAATGTGATGGATGGAAGGAGGAGGCTTGAAACTATTATAATTTGACTCACCAGTTATTCTTGTAATGTGTAATTTCCTATTCTTGTAAAATCCAGATTTGAGGAAAAGTTGGTTTATATAATGTGTATGTGATAATGTGTATTCTTGTAAAATCCCACCAAAAACATCTTTGACATGTCTTAGATTCCAATCTGCCTTAGCCTTTGTTGCATTCCGGGTTTTCTGTCTCCAGACAAGAATGCATTCATTTGTCGAATTTGATGCTTTGTTAAGGCCACAAAAGGAAGGTCTTGTTTCAAGCATATTTCTCAAGTTCATAACAATGTTTAGTGCTCTATGACTCACATTGATGGCTCTGTGCTTAAACAGCAAATTCATGTTTATACCTTTGCCTCCTACCCTAAATTTTTTTATTGCTTCTTCTTCCAAATTTTTTTTCTCCCTCCCCTCCTCAATGACCCCACCCTCACATTTTGGAAACCCTCCACCCAACCCCTGTGGCATTGTCTTGAAAAAGAAATGACAGCCAAAAATAATAGTCTCTAGCCCAAGTCAATCATGAAGGCAACCCACAACCACCACTCCCAGCTTGGGTGGGGAGGTTTCAAAATGGAATGGTAGGGTTGGATCTGGATAGTATGTGCTTTCTTTCTCTCTTTCTCCCTCTGTTTGCCTCTTTGTTTTTTCCTTCCTCCCACCCTCTGTCTCCTCTTCTGTTTCAGCAGGGCATGGGAATTGGGTCACCTCTGCCATTCTGTGGATGTTATTGGTCTCTCAACAAAGTTTCATCACTGTCTGTCTTTCTACTCTCTCCCCTCACCTGCCCATTTCCTCATCACTTCAACTCCCCGCCCCTAATTTTACTGATGTCTATGTCATATCATCCTTTTCCTACTTTTGTCTGCTTGGTATTGTCAATATTTATACCATGTGACTACTGGAGATTTTACAAGCATACAAAATATGGGCAAAGAGATTAAGTATTTGATTTTAATCTCGTTAACCAAGCTAATGAGCTGAACTTAATGGGCAGATACCTCTGCCCTTACCACCACCAAATGCACTACATTTTCAGATCCGTTATTGAAGATCAGATGTTTATAACCCCTCCTCTAAATATTGCAGGTAATATTTAATCAACAAATATGTCAATCTATGATCTAATCTTCCCAGGTCTCTCTTATATTTCTCATATCTGTTTCCTGTTAGTTTCTTAGCAACTAATATATATATATATAATCAGCCTGCCAACTTGTTACCACTAATGTTGTGGTGCAATGTATTGCATCTATAAAGTACAGGGCCAGCTAGCCACTTGACCGAATTCTGATACCATGATTCTTTAATCCCTTTCTTTCTATCAAACTACTGACAAATATGCCTTTATGTAAACAAACCATACAGTTAATTTTTTTACGTCCTTTTACCAAAATTCTTCTACCTAAGAAATCACACTAATCTAATGGATCATTCTTTAAATAAACAACTTAATCTCAAGGGTTTTAATAAGTAACATTTTTGATTTTTATCAAAGGAAGTAATTTATTGTCGACATTTTTGCCCTGTTTGGCATGTATAGCAGGTGGGTGCAGGGCCCTACCCAGTTATATTAAGTTACTAAGTATCTCTAAGTTAATATTCTAGTTCAGTTCATTAAAACCCTTCAGCCCATATAATTTCTTGAAGCTAATTAACTTTCTTAATTATCTTACATTCCAATACTTTTTAAATGCAATTAAGACTTCTCATGTTTTTTTCGTTTTTTTTTTAAATTTCTCAGGATTTTTTTTTATATTTAAAGTTGTTCATTAACCACTGTCATGTCTCATTGGGAGCCTGCACATCTTGCATGTGTGTTACCACCCATTTTGCCAAAAATTCTAAATGTATAAATTGATATCTGGTTTGATATTGATTTTTTTTTTTATGTTAAATATTGAAAATAAAATTAAATCAACATTTCAGTGAATATGATTTGAAAAAGTAATAAATTTTGTGTTGCATGGCACTAGAAATAGTGTTTACTATGACCCACACTTAAATATTTCCTTTAGTCAAGTGGTAGAGCATCCTGGGTATGTTGATAAACTACAACTGGCAGCAAAGCCTCTGATTGGGAGGTTTTGAAGAGCATGGAACCACCTCTTAATTGCTGTTGTTCCCAGGTCCACCCTAACTTGGAGTGGTAGCACCTGTTAGGGTCCCAGCTATGGGCAAATAGTTAACCCCCAGATTGGGTCAGAACACTATGAAATGATAAAAATAGGTTTTTATAGTAAAAAATACCAGGAATACATTTGACTCTCAGCAAAAAAGCCTCTTTACAAAAATACGTCAATGAAAGCTGATCTTCAGACTGATTTCTTACAATGAAGACATATTTTATTCATACAAACCTATCCTAAAAATCTTATCAACATTAAATAACCCATTGAGACAGATATGCCATAAAACAAAATAAGCCAAACCAATCCAGTGGTGGATTTACTAAGAAGCTTCTGGGCCCTCAATCTCCGGGGGGGGGGGGGCTGAAGCAACCTTTTTTAATGAGTAAATTTTTCAACAAAATAGATGCATTATTTTTTTTTTTTTTTTTTTTTTTTTTTTTAACTGTTTATTAAAATATTTTAGTGATAGAATCATAAACCAATGGGTTTGAAGTAGCTCATGTTGGCCTTATAGAATAAATTTGCTCTAATACCCACATTTCATATGGCCTCAAAATTTCCGTGTAATTGGTCAAATTTCAAAATTTTCTTGAAGGTTTCCAGTTCCCAAACACCCAACTGTTTGGGATCATTGAGCTTGCCAGAATCTATTGATTGCCTACATTGTGGCAATTGGATCCTCAAATCTATTGTTGGTTGCAAGGTGTACCCATATCAAGCTTCAGGGCCCCGTCACTGGTGGAGTCATTTTCTATTTATAGAAATTGTTATAACTATTTGCAAAAGCTTATTATCACTAAGCTTAATGATATTATTATTATTATTATCACAATAGTATTGTTAATGGTGTTCTACTATGGCTGATGGAAAAGAGTGCAGGCATCATAACTCCAGATCTATTAACTGCTAATTATCTCTCATGGACAAACTATTTTCTTCTTTCTTTGTGAAATCATACTTAGTTAAAACTTAATCTGTCATCTAAGTTAAATCATTTTGACAGTAGTATGCTAACAAAAATTGTGCTACTATGTGCCATTTTTGCTGTTATAGTAAACAAACAGATAATTATAATGATGAAAATATAATACTGTTTTTAATTCAATGTGTTAATTTTTCTTATGGATACTGTTTTGTTTTTTTAATAGTTGTAATTATTGCTTCAGTTAATATTACTTGACACATTTGAAACTAAATAATTTAAAGAAAAGCTTTCTAAAGTCAAGACACACAACAGGCTTACACTAGATTGTTTTAAATAATATCGTCTTTTGGAGTTTAAAATACAAGACATTTTAGTCATTGAAATATAGTTAAACAAATCTCAAGTGTGGAAGGATAAAATATCTAAAAACTCTTTCTTTGAACATTTTTTTCAGATTTCTAAAGTTTGTTCTATTGCAAGTTGTTGGTGTTTCTCTTAGGATTTACAAGCTTAGTCCAATTGTTAGCGAAAAGGACAGTGCTGTAAGGTTTGATGAATCAAACTTTCATTTTAGAAAAAGAAAAATTTGATTTCACATCACAACAAATGTACCTGCCTTTTCCATGCCAGTTTTCTGCATAAATTGTCCATGTTTGCCATGGCAACTGCCAGACAGCTACATAGTTCAAGAAAAAGTATTACCAAGTTTGAACTTAAGTAAACACTTCTCTTCTTTTTTCATGTTCAAGATGAAGGGGTATATAATGTTAATTATTATTAAGTTTGAATATATTAAAACACAATTAAATGGCTTATTCTAAAATCAGACATTATTTACCAGACAACTTAATACTATCTTTCAGTGTATACACAATGTGTGTCACATATTTGAAACCAACATTCTAAAAGTGATTAATCATTAGGAATGAGTAATATGTTTTTGTGCAACTATTATTGTAATATATTAGAACACAACATGTTTATTCTAAGACCGAACATTATTTTCCGAACAACCTAATAGATAGGAATAAACAGGAGTAAATAGGTTCACCTATTGTCCGGTTCACACTCCTCTCCAGTCTTTTGAACAGGAGTAGAGGTTTAACCTTTATTCCCTGTCAATTTTCTTTTTAAAATTTAACTTAAATGGTCATCTCTACATTGTCACATTCTAGGTACCAATAAATAGATAAGAATAGACTGATATCTAAACAATGGATTTATTTTTAATCTGACATTTTTAGAGCACCTTGCTTATTGTGATGTTCTTCATAACCAAGAAATAAGGCATACTGGATCAAATGATTGTTTCTCCAACTAAGAGGAATGCAGGTTTGATTCCTGCTGGAAAACACATTTTCTTTACTCGGATTTCTCAAATGTGCAGGTTAATAGACATAATACACACTATTTAATAAATAAAATGGGGGCATCTATTTCAAATACTAAGTGTCCACTATAATAACATTAGAAGTAATAGACCCGATATCAAAAGATAGAAACATAGTGAAATAATTATCTATAAGACATTAAAGCTCTCTCACTGGAGGTAAGAGAAAGAAAAGCTGATTATTTTTATTTTATTTCACAGCCATACACACATGTAAACAAAGGACAGTTTGATGGACATGAAGGGGTTTTCTTTCTTTTCTTTTCTTTTCTTTTTTTCTTGTCTCCAACTTTGATTTTATTGCTCAGTCAAGGGTAGGGATTGTCTAGAGTGAGTGAGAGGAGAATTTATTATTCCATTATCTTATTTCAAATTGTGTGGGTAGCACAAACACAACTCAAACATATGCTCATATACATAAAAACAAAGTGACACCTAGTGTGTGGCAAACAGAGAATATGCTTGTCTTTTATAATATTGATTAATTTTATTACTGTTTTTAGTCAAAGAAGTACCTTCAACCATTATTTTTCATTGTGACTCATATGGATAACAAATATAATTTAAATAGGAAACAGTAACAGAAGATATTAATATTCCACACAGCTTCAAACAAAAAGGTTAGATTTTGATTTTGTTCATCGCTGTCATCAGCTTTATCTTGTATCCAAGAATTTCATCTTTGCCGATTGCTTCCTTTATGATGATGGCATTGGTGATTAAATTTGCCATCAACATGCAGATTTAGGACAAGAAACTTCCAATTTCACCAAAACCTGTTGCCATCATTAATTCCCTATCATCATTTGGCTTTGCAAGAGTTGGTTGGAGGTGAAAGGAAATCACAGTAGAAGAAATTGGTGATGGCAGGAATTTGTTTAAGGTGGACCTCAACTTGCCAAGAAATGACCTACACATTTGATTTCATGACCTTCCTCTGCTGTGCGTATGGAATGAGACATGAAGAATCCAGTTATGGAACTGCAATGGACTGCCACTGTGTTACAATTTCAAGTTGATGCCTTCTATAAAATGTCCGTTATGTGTAAGCCCTCTTCATCTGCTTTTGTTCCATCATTGTTGGGATCCTTTAGTATTCCTCCTTATACATACACATCTGTAAAGCCTAAAGAATGAATTTTGCCAATATTTTTAACTTTTCTATCAGAAAACAAAATTATACTGTGAAAAATATGAAACTTTTTTCTTCTTCTTCTCAAAATTTACGATATATATTATTTGATGCAAATGTTCTTGATTGCAAGAATTGAATTATGAATATGGCCACCATGTACTGGCTGTATTTGGGAATTAAGACTGTCTCCAATACCACTTACACACTATTTTTTTTTTTTTAACCATTTCACTCCAAACAAAACAACAAAGCCAGTAAAATGCAAGGGGTTACTGAGTGCAGAAAAATAAGGGAAAAACATTAAGGAAAGTAAACAATAAAAGAGAAATTAAGAAGACAAACAATAATGCTTGATATTTTATACAAGTACTGCTACCCATTATTACACAAATTACTGAAGCAGAACATCTTACCGTTCTTGGCAATTTTGCCAATAATTTGATACCATCTATGAAAAATAACTTAAGTTGCTACAACTTTTCATCAAGGTTTTATCAGGCAACAACTGTCTTGAGATGTGGTACACCATTTTGACTTCTATAAGAATTTATGATCCTACATGTGTTTGGGGAACATTTATTTTTGAGGGCAGCCCAGGGTTGAAAATCTCTTAAAATTATGGCAGACAGTTTGGTGTTTATGCATATGGAGCCAGTATGATAAAAATGGAGCCAGTATGATAAAAATGGTTGCTAAGTAGAAACACTGCTATGCAAGATTGTTTCTTAGCAACTGTTATCATTTATTAAAATGGGGATTTAACTTTTATTTTACATTCTGAACATTTTTTTAATCACCATCATCAAAACTGTTTCAATTTTGAAGGCACACAGCAAATCAGTATGATTTATCATCTTCAGCAACTTTACAAATATTTCTTATCAGTCTTTCAATCCGGATTGACTTGTGCTGACGAAAGTGCTGCAGGTTTTCCGAGCTATTCAAAGATTTTTTTTTTTTTTCGTAAATGATGGAGTTTTATTGATAGATCATTTAATCTAATTGTTCATCCTATGTCAATAGATGTTATTTTTTCATTTGATATTGATGACAAAACAATTTCCACTATATTCACTATTTTCAAAGCTATTATACTAATATCTGTTCCTTTGATTGATTTTGGTTTCTTGGAGACGATATACATTACTATTATACTTGTAAATATCCACAGCCAGTAATTTCTTTTTGTTTTTACGCGTCTTTTAACATTAAATGTCCCGTATGGTAAAATCTTTTAGGTGATTGGAGTCATTTTCAAAGTTTTAAATAAGTTGTCAATTTTTAACAATTGACAGCTGGAGAAGTTATTACCTTTCTCTGGCATGATAATAATTTCAAAAAAATTTTGTTTACATAGCAACTGTACTTTTGTTTTACATAACACCTGCATTATAACTTGGTATACAGTTTTGAAAATAATCGTGTTATCTTTCATGTGTTTTTGCGTAACCTTAGATACAAAGTTTCTGTTTATAAAACATGAAACAACCATTTTCGCATTAAGGACAAACAATATATTCTGAAAAAACTGGACCATTTTTGGACTCTGGACCCATGTATGCATGTTAAAAAAAAAAAAAAAATTATGTCATATTCAGGAGTGGGCTTTCTGTTAAATAATTTATGGGTAAACAATTGAAATATGCAGTTTTCCTTGGAAGATGAAATATTCCATTGGGAAGATGAATAGTGATGCCCTAGTCACAAAAACAATGAAAACTGCTTTTGTAATTTTCATGTAAAGCCCTCAACCAATTGGTTAACAGGTGGTTAGTTCTGCTCATTCCTGCAAATTCTAAACTCAACCAAGACATATAGGTTGAAAGGAAAAATGAGCAAAGAACAAGCTCGTTCTAATTTTTCTTTTAATTTAAATCTTACATTAAGTTCTTAATGAGCACCAGATTAACACTATGATATGATTATAATATTGAATTCAGCTTACAGCTATAACCATGTTGAAACACCAGTTCTCATACTATCACCAAAGTTAAGCAATGTCAAGCCTGGACAATAGTCAGATGAGTAAATGCTTGGGAATGCCAGATGCTGCAAGCTTGGATGTGCGGGTGGTGTAATGGATAATGGCTTGGAATTGAAAATCAGATCACCGAGTTCAAATTCCAGTCTGATTTGTTCTATTCACTTACGCACAATACCCTTAGGAACAGTATGAGTTCACCTCATCTCCCCCCAACTATGGCTTAATTAGTAAGACTTTTATCAGTAAATCATTATTGTCAAGGAAATTCTTACAATCTAAAACTATTTTCTAACTTTAAATAAACTGCGAAAGGTTGATAAGACGTTAAAAAAAAAATTTTTTTTCTATTGAATTCAGATACCTTGTTCTCTTTACCAATCCATATAGTATCAGTTTTTTTAGTGACTAACAAATCCCAAATCAGGATTGGTTGGCTTGAGAATTTCTCATTTCAATCAAGTGATGATTTTTTTTTCAATTGGGAGTGTGTGGAACAGATTCAAAATTTCACTTTGTGTCAGTGCCAAAAACTTTGTTTGTTGGAATATTTTTTATTCTGTCTACTAAACTAAAAATCGATCATTCATTATCATTTAGTTTAATGATTTATATTTAGCTGATATTAAAATCCTGCCTCAATAATTGCTTGAAAAACTTTTTTAGTTTTCAGTCTTAAGCCATGCAATTGCAGGAGAAGTTATGTTCATAGCCCAGTGATCAAAATCCTAGATAATAGATTTCTATAAATATACAACATTTCTTTGATTATTCAGATATTTTGGAACAGGTTGGAAAAAATACATTTGGATAATTATAAATAATTGAATACTGAAATTATCAAAAAAAGAACGTAGGGCAGGGAGCCATTTTCTTAAAGGAATTTAACACTGAGATTTACATTGTAAAATAACATTTTCAAACACCTTGTTCAGGGTCTTGTCCAGTTTATTTTTTGCCTATTTCATGAAATCAAATGTGTGGGTCCCTTCCTGGCAAGTTGATATCCACCTTAAACGAATTATCACCATTGCCACTTTCTTTTACTCTGATTTTCTTTCACCTTCAACCAACGGTTGCAAAACCAAACGGTGATACGGAATGGATGATGAGAAGCTTCTAGTCTTGAACCTGCATGCTGGCAGCAAATTTAGTCTTCAAAGCCTTCATCATAAAGGAAGCAATCGGCAAAAAAGTAATTAAATAAAACCAATGACAACAATTTTGTTGAAAAAAAAATGCTCCAGTTTTGACCTGTTTCTGACTAACTTCACGATTTTTCTGGATTAAAGTATTTATTTTCCAGTGTGTCCACATCGCTACCAAATGTGACACAAGGTTATCGTTTAAAGAGGGTTTAACAGCAATATTATCAAAACCTTTTTCTTTTTTTTTTCTCTGGATTAAAGTATGTGTATTTGTAATGCTATCCATTTTCCTTTTTGTTTTATCATTTCGAATTGGAAGCCATTTCAATTTCAGTCTGTTTAAACCACAACCAATGAACAAAATAAGACCGCACAATGAATGAAGTGTCTCGTCAGTCCGGGGAGACGGGTATAATCAATGTTAATTTCACATCCGGATGAACAAAAAAAAAAAAAAAAGAAACAAACAAAACAAATAGCCCTGAAGAGTTACATGATATCTGTCCTCCTGTATGGCAGCAAATGCTGGAAAATATCCTCAAAGATAAAGAAGAAAATTGAAACAACAGATTCGTGGTTCTAGGGAAAGATGCTGAGTATACCATGAGCTGAACATGTGAGCAACAACAAGGTTTTAGAGAATTTGGAAACAAAAAGGTAACTTATACATAACATCAGAAAGAAGCAGTTGAAATTTCTGGGACACATAATGAGGAAGGAAAGCTTAGAAAATCTGATACTCACAGGACAGAGGAAAGTAGCATGTAACATGAGCTTGAGTATATAGATGGTAAAACAGGGTTTGGGAGAAATAACAAAAAGACAAAATTTATCAAAAGCTACAAGGGACAGGAAGAGGTGGAGGGCCATGATCACCTACATCCTGAAGGGACACAGCACATAAAAGAAAAATCTGAGATTTAAACCAAAATCCCTTTCTAAAAGATTTCTCTATTGATTCCAGGGCTTAAAAACAAAAAGGCTACCTCGTCATCCCGATTGATAAGTTTTTGACAATAAGGCTTTGGTTGTGGGTTCAATTCTTACAAGAAGATTAGCAATTCAGTTATTCATTAGACTAAGTGCATATGAAGCAGGCTGAAGATTTATTGAAGATTAAAAGTTTATTGCTTATTTGATTTTTGTCATTTGTCTGCCTCATAGAAGTTGATGTCATTACTCTCATCTGTCACCATGTCATTTGTTTATTATACTTAATTATTGGTTTCTACTCATTTCAGATAAGGGAGTCTGTTGTCTTTAATAGTGAACAAAGTTTCAGGTCGGCAATGCCTGGGTTGACCCTAACGGCTTACACAGTTTAATTAGTGGCTATGCATTGGAGATTGATTTTGATCAGCTTCCAGAATGGCAAATTCAGCCACCGGCAGACACTTGACCAAGTCTCAAGGGAATACTGACATATTATGTAAGGTCAATAGACCTGACCACCCATCTTTTTGTTTCTCTCCTCTATCTCCCAACAACTTCCCTCCATATATATTGCCTTCTCTTTTTCTCTCTCTCTCTCTCTCATTGCCTATGATTGAAATGTGATGCATTCAAGAGTTACAGAAAAGTTGTTGTTTGATTTCCTTGAGTGAAACAGCCACTTTGTTGGAGATTTTTTTTTCTCTGCCCCCCCCCCCCTCTCACCTTTCCTTCTGCACTCGCTCTCTCTCCTCTCTTTTCTCTCCCTTCTCTCTCTTTCCCTTCCCTCTTTTCCTCCTCCTTTTCTCTCCTTCACTCTTCCTTCCCTTCTCTTTTTCCTTCTCCTTCCTCCCTCTCTCCCCTTCCTGTTTTCTTTGTATTCCCCTCCCTTTTTCCTCTTACTTTTATTTCCCCCTTTTTATATATATTCTGACATTAAACTAAAAAATGTGTTATCCTCAGATAAATATTAAATAGATGAGGAAGAGGTTGAAAAGGCAGAAAAGGTAAAGAATTTAGAATGGGGATGACAAGAATTAAATTCCTCATGGGAAATGCAAGAGCTGATTCTCAGAATTGCCCTTAAAGGTTGATGTTGTATGAAAGGAACTGGTCCTTATATAAAATGCACCAAGATTTATTTTCTGTATATTTACCAATATTGACACTAATATTACTACCACAAATAAAAAGTTCACTTATTTCTTAAGGATCCAATGTTGGCTAATTTGTATAAGGCAGCAAAAGAACAGTCTTGTTTTCCCAACTTACAATATGATTACATCTCTTCATTTTTTACCTGAAAGCCTCTCAGAACATCAGCATTGGTGAATTTTTATTTCTTAAGCTTTTGCTTATAAAGAGGCAGCTAAAGCATAATTTTGTTCCTTGTGAAATTTGTTTGGCTAACTTTATCATTATTACACACTGTGATATACTTGGACTAATATCCTCATCTTAGTTGTTAGTCACAGTATTTTGCTTATTGTACCTCCCGGCTTTATTTAGTTGTTTGTTGGAAATAATTGTTAGAAAAAGAATGTTGAATATATCTTGCAGGCTATGTGCTATGTACTTCTGGGTGTGGCCAATCATGTTTCTCAATTAATTCCTGTCCCTTGTAGCTCTTCTTAGTAATATTTGTTTTATGCTATCTCTCTTAATCCCCGTTCTGCCAACAATTTACACACGCTCAATAGGTAGGTTATTTGATGATTTCCACTCTCTCTCTCTCCCTCTTGCTTTCATCATACCTTGTAAGTGTGAAATTTTCTAAACCTTCTTCCCTCATATGTCTTAGAAATTTCAGCTGTCTCTTTCTAATTCTGAATATGAGTCCTTGTTTTGTTTCCATTTCTTCTGAAACTTCATCATTGCTCACATGTTCAGTCCATGGTATTCTCAGCATCCTTCTTAAGACCATATTTCTGTTGCGTCATCTCTTCTTTATCTGTTAGGAGATTGTCCAGCATTCACTGCCATGAAAGAGGACCGATATTACATAACAGTCCTGTACTCTGCTCTTTGTTTCTTATGAAATTTTCCTCTTTGTTAATACTTTGCTAAGCTTTAGGAAAGCATCTTTCCCTATTCCAATGTGCCTTTGGATTTCAGCATCACATTTCCCATCGTCTGCTAGAACACTTCTTAGATATTTAAATTTTTGTACTAGCTTGATTTTAGTGTCTCCAATTTATAGTTTGCATCTTGAGTTGATCCTATTGCTAACAGCCATATATTTTGTCTTCTTACACTTGATAGTCCTTTCTTCTTGCTTTCCTTTCATACCTTCTATATGAGTACTCATAGTTTGCTTTCTGTGTTTACTATCAACACTGTTATTTTGACCAAACTCTTTATTCAATCCATGGCAATAAATCAATTATGGGCAAATTGCAGCCCCCAGGCCGCATGTCACCCGTTTGTCTTTCTGAATGGTGCAATGAATTTCATGAGGAAAATAATGGGTATTAAAATCCTGTTTGTCTCATTTTGCCCTCACCTGTTCACTCACATTTTCTCATAGATAACCAATGAATAAGTACAATTTTTCTTGAATTTTGTTTTCATTATTTTAAACTGTAGTGGAATGAATGGTACATGGCTGGTGGCTATATTAACTAATCCATTACTATAAAGAGCTCCAGGTCAGAGGTAAGACTGGCAGATATTTGGAGCCAGTCTTCAGACTAACTAATACATGGGGTCATAGCAAGTAGCTGAAGCATTACGTAAAGACAATCCTTATATGAAGTATATATATTATATAAAAGTGTGTGATAACAATAATAATTTTTTTTTTTTTTTCCTCTGAAAAAGAAATATTTTTTATATTAAAATTTTGTATTTTCAAATAAACAAATAAGAAACAAATCACACACAGCAGTGTGTGTTAATCACAGTCATCTAATAATACAGTGTGTAGCAGAAATACCTCCCACATAATGGTAAAACATTAGCTAGATGAAGACACTATTGCTATCAATGTCTTACCATTGTGTGGAAGGTATTTCTGCCACACCCTGAATTACACCAAGATTTTATTTTTTTTTCATTATTGAGAAACCTTTTCTTCTTTAAAAAAAAAAAAAAAAAAAAAAGAACAATCAACTTTCTCTTATTTCTAAAGCAGATGATTACATGTATGGTCTTTTGTAGTCTATAAAATGACCGAGGCACCTTTTAACAAAAAATTACTTTGAATCTTTTTAGTAGTGCAGCCCACCTTATGATGAACCATATCTGATGTGGCCCACAGCTCGGAAAAGGTTTCCCATGCCTGGAATAGTTTGTTCTACTTTCAATATCAATGTTAATCAATATTGCTAAGGATGAATTGACAGGAGACATTTTCTGGCATGGGAAGTCAATCAAATAAAAGGGTTTGGCTCAAAATTCCAAAAGCTACTAAATACAACAGATGGTTACAATGAGCAATACGTTCAGATTATAACACCTGAGATGGGGACAGGAGAGAGAGAGAAGTGTAATTGCTTGTCCAAAAATTCTGGCAAGAATAAATATCATCATTGAATATCAAAAAGATACAGATGATCTGATTATCTAATATTATTGTTTATCAATCATTATATGATGTCAAAAATTCCTTTCTACTCAAAGGGTAAATCAGAAGCTGGTCCGGTACAGTAAGTGTTGCAAAACACTGCCTCGTCACATGACCCAAATTTCAGTCAGGAATCAATTAATAATGTGAAAAGAAAAGAGCATATAGAATGGCCCTGTTCTCAAAAAGTAACCCTCACAAAAAAAAAAAAAAAAAAAAAAAGATAAGAAGGTAGGAAAGGCAAGCTTTAAGTGACAAGGTGGCAAACCTGTGCATACCACCACTTCCGATAAAGAGATTACAAAAACCAATGCTCGGGGCTGCCACACTTTGAAAAACAAGCCATGGCAAAAACTCTGTCTCCCATGTCTAACTGCAACCCAACACATGCAGATATTTTCACTTATTTTTCCACAATATTAAGGACCTCCACTGAACTTTTGATACCTAAGTTTTAAAATGAATTTTTAAAAATGAAAAAGCTTTCTTTTTAGGTTTATGATTAAATTTACTATTTCTAGTAAGCAAAATGTATTGCAAATAGAAATTATATTTATTGGAATTTCAACTCTTTGGTCACTTTCAGAAAATCATATAAAATTATCCATTTTTGACACATTTGTAAACAAAAGTTAATTCTGGGATTTAAAATTTTAAAAGAATAAAATATACTTTCTGAAACTTTATTTGAGGAATATTAGCTGACTTAAAGTATAATTAATCTGATTTGAAAGAAATATTTACTTTAAGTTTAAAATAACAGAGAAATGGATTTTTAAAACAGAGTAATGATGATTACACACTTGTCACCCTCACTTGTCACTCATAGATCACTTAACAAGTGCTGATATGTCAACACCATTATTGTTGTTCTACTGAGACTTTATCTGTTAAAACATAATTTAAGAAAATGACAGGTGAGCATCTTTTTTATATAATTTTTAAGTACTCAGTAATCTTAAAAAGGTTGAAAAATATTCCCTGTAATATAATTTAAGGAATGTTAACTTTAAATTTATTATAGCCATCGCTCTTATTTTCTGATAATGTTGTTTAAGGTCAGTCACACTTTCAAACATAGGCACTTTATGTAATATTTTGTATACATAAAATAAAATTATTTTAAAAATCTTGTGCCAAATTCTTTGTATTAAGCTTTTCAATTTTTGATTAATAAATATAGTTTTCACTTAATAACAATATCATCTAACTGTAAGAAAAGTAATGCAGAATTTTAAAGTTTGTATATTATAAATTATTATAATTGAAATTTAAAAAGAAAAAAGAAAAACAAATCTTGTAAAAAAAAAAAATTCATTGTTCATCAAAAAAAATTTTCTTAAGACAATAATGTCATTAATAAATCTTATTTATAAAAGCAATTAAAAGCTTTTCTAATTAAATAATATAATTGTTTTTTTTTGGAGGGGGGTTAATTTATGATTCAGAACGGATATTTTCAGGAAAAGGGTATGAGTATTTTTAAAATAGAAATTTGATGATTTACATTCACCAAAGAATCCTGCTTTTAACTAATAAAATAAATTTTGAGATTGAAATTTAATTTCTCAAAATTTCATGAAATTAAGTAGGGGTGGACTAATAAATGTAATTAAAAAAAATGAATTCTTTTTTTCAAGATTTTCTAAAAAATAAAATTTTCAAAAATAATTTCATTCTTTCATTCATCTGTGAATAAGTCCTGAAAGTTTCACTAAAATCTGACAATTATTTGATTTTTGCAAGAATTTCCAAATCTATGTTTTTCACCTGAAAAAAGTGCTAAAACATTAAACGTAAATATTAGGTTGATTGTTAACACAAAAAAAAACACAAGCAAAATTTTGAACAAGATAAAAATGAGTAAAAAATTTAATAAAATAATACAAAATCACTTTTGTCTTTCCTCTTAATAATAAACCTTTTGATGATAAAACTTTTAAGTTTGGGCTCTTTTTTCATTATGCGATGCTGTCTTCTCAGCAAACAAGTGGAGGTGTGTTAGTAGGATATATATTGAATTACTATGCATTTCACCTTTATTTTCATTTTGACCGAAAAACACCAACCTATCTAATGAAGGCAAAACATGTGCATAAAAGTTTTCCACTTTGATTTATCAATATTTTACATATGTATGTATGTATATATATATATATATATATATATATATATATATATATACACACATGGTAGGCCATAAGTTTCCATAAATAGGAAAATGCTTGGTATGGGCCAGGATATGGGGTGACAGAATTATTGGACCAATTTTTGTCAGTGAAAATCTTAATGCAGAAAGGTTGGAAGAGGAAATTCTCCCATCCCTGGTAAACGAGGAAGGTGACTACTCAGTTTACTTCCAGCAAGATGGAGCTCTACCTCATTATGGTCATCAAGTACAGTGTATCAGTATTTGGATCTGCAGTTTTTGGATGCTTGGGTTGATCGGCATGGTCCTGTAGAGTGGCCTCCAAGATCCCCAGATATCTCTCCCCACCCCGACTTGATTTCTATCTTGGGGGGCGGGGCGCACTTGAAGACCATGGTGTATCAGGTGAAGATACAAGACATAAATTATCTCAAGGAACGTATCACCAACACCATAACTTCAACTGTGCTAATGCATGTTCATCAACAGTGGGAAACGTATTAATATGTGTTTTTGAAACAATCGTAATCATATAGAGCACATTACATAGATAAAAATGGCTGTCCAACATAAAATGTTTATTTATTTATGTTTTTGTATATATATTTTTGTCTGGAGTTATCTTATTTGCTTAGTTTAAAGTGTTATCTATGTCTAAAGTATGTTACATTACCTATTTTGTATATAGTGCATATAAATATTTGCACTATATAGAATGTAGACATTGACCTCAGTGTCCACTTTTATATTTACCTACATCCTTTCTCTGATATTAAGCACTTTTACTTACAGTATACCTTAAAGCTATAATATGTACATATATATATAAAAAAGAAAAAAAATTCAATAACAGATAGCTACACATACCTGATGATGATCTCAGAAAGAGATAGAAAATACTTGGGAAATAAAAGTGATTTTCACTGTTACAGTGCATTTCTTGCATCATTTGATTGTAATACATGAAAAAATATTTGTGAATATGAAAGGATTATGCTAAAAATAAGCAGACATAATGTTTGTAATTTATTTAATCAGACATGCTGACAAGAAAATTTCCTACTTAAATACACACACACAGAGAGGTAGAAGCTCTGACACCAAATCAGTTGGGTTTCGATCAGGGCTTGAGGCATTTGGTTGTCTAGTCACACTGAGCAGCTGTGATACAGTGAAACAGTACTGTCTGCGAATGACAGATATATACATATATATATATATATATATATATATATATATTAATTTTGGTTATTGAATTTTATTCCATTTATACCAACCCTGTACTTATATATATATATATATATATATATATATATATATAATGATCTATATCTATCAGTAACTCAGAAGCCTAATGATGAAAAAAACATTTATTTTACAAGATATATTTTTCAACATTAACACATTTGTCTATCCACAACTTCTTAGATCATATAGACAAAACATTATACAGTGAAAAATCTCAGATTAAGATTTTAGATGAATGTGAAATGACAAATTGGAAAAATTCTGTGTAACACGTTTCAGCCTCAAAAAGAAATTCATCAGACTAAAGTAATTATCTTATTTTTGGAAATATATATCTAGGTGGATGGGAAGATATAAGCATGAACACTGATTAATAATTATACACTGAATGAAAATGCTGAAGGTGTGGTTAAATTAAATTTGAAATTTTTGTATTTAAAATTTTTTAAAGATTTTTAGTGTCCAAAATATCTATGCACAGCTTAGCTGATTTCTTAAAATTTAGCCTAACATTGTTCTGATATATCAAAATGTATATATCGTATTGTCATATATATATATATATATATAGTATCCATAAAGTCCTTCTGCAATTTAAATTTATTACAAAAGCAAATGAACAGACATATATGTGAAAATTGTTACTAATTGGGGAGTAGATATTGAAGTTTTTTTAACTAATTTAATACACCTCCATATGAACACCATTCATTGCACGAAGCACATCAAGACAGTACTTGATTGCTTGCTATATTTTCTGTAGCATAGACTCATCAATGGTGGCATTGGTATCAGTGAACTTTTACTTTAGATCAGTGATGTCTGGTATCTTTGTTTGATACACGATATCTTTAACATAATCTCAGAGAAAGAACTCCAAGGAAATGATATCTGGTGAACGAGGTGGCCAGGAAATTGGGCCATCCCTTTTAATCCATTAGTCTGGAAATGTTCATTTAATGTTCAAAGTCTTCATTTCACACTACCTCTTTCATCAACAGGGTACCTGAAATATACAAATGCAATGTGATTAAAAACTTTGATAACTACTGAGTACATAGAATAAATCTGATTAAGATATCTCATCAATTGTCCTTGTAATATGCCCGTATTTACTTGCATCTCATGTAACCTTTGAAGAAGACCTAATTTTGAACCTAATTTGACTACAGTAAATGGATATATAGTTTGGTCAACAACAGCATAGCCACAGCCAGCAGTACATCTAATTTTATATCTCATGTATGATGTGACCTCCTCCTTAAAATTAATTCTTCAAAAGTCATATTATACACAAGTATATACAGTATTTTTTTAAATTGTAAAGATATTTTATGGACACCCTGTCCCTCGTGTGTGTGTGTGTGTGTGTACATAAACACTGGGATCATCAACAAGTAGTGAGTCTGTTTCATACATGAATGCAATCTTCAGGCTATCCTGAAATAATATATCTACATTTATATATAAATGTATATGTCTAATATATAACTGGAAATCATCAATGTCCAGTTTGTTGTCACTTGACCCTAAAGTTATATATATATATATATATATATATATATATATATATATATATATACACACACACACCCTTTCAGTCAGTTTGTTGCCAACTTTGAAGACCCTATTTCAAAGACTTTATTGCTGGTCATAAAACACTTGAGACCAGGATAGAATCTCCCATTCTCCCCTTTTATGTGGTCATTCCACTCATAATCTCACAGTATTTTTTGTTTTTCTTTTTAAATTCCAACAATTTGTTGGTCACACATGCAGTACCATGTCTCATCACTTAATAGCTTCACAAAAATGTCTCGGTCACGGTGGAGTAATGGATTGAGGAATCCGGGAGCCGAGTTCAAATTCCAGTTGAATTCATTACATTCACTTACGTGCTAATACCCTTGGGAAATGTTTGAATCCTCTTCTCCCCCCAGCTATGGGTAAATAGCAGGACAGACCAGGTTCTATAGCCTTGGATGGCAACTGGTCTGCCAAAGAAAGAAGTGGCAACCTACTGTAGGGAAAAAATCTGCCTTGTCAGTCATGGATTGAAAGACACATGATCACCTAAGCATGTATCACACATGGCACATAACTGACTGATTGGTTTGGTCATAACTGTGATTACTGAGGGTAACCACTTTCCAATCAATATCTAATGTAGTTTACCTATTGGCAACCTTGACAAGAGTATGTCATATAATATTCTCTGCTACATTTGTGTTTTCAGCATATCTTAAAATGATAGTCCCAGTTTGGTGTAAGCCAACTGCCAATTGCTCTATTAGATTTCAATATAACAAGTTGGATCTAAATAGATTTTATGTTTTACTTCTCGTTTCACATATATTTTAAAGTTTTCTTTTCTTTTGCTTGTCTCTTTCAGGGATGATTCCATGCAAGACTCAGTGGAATAAATGGTGCAGAATTTTCAAAAATCTTTTGTCCACAAATGTAGTTTATGATCTCCTCTTATGTGATTGGATCGTCCTTTGCACAACATTCTCATTGTGGTGAGTAGATTCATTTTTTTTTTTTTTTTTTCTTTCTTTCTTACTCAATGCTCTGATTTCATCCAATAACCAACGCACTCTTCACATGCTTTCTCTTAATTCTCCACAGATTTTAAGGTCATTTTGAAAGTAACTGGTCAGAGGGGTTGATATATATATATATATATATATATATATATATATATGATTTGCCCTTTCCTGTAGCAATCTAAAATTCAAATATTTCAATTAAGTTTAATTTTGGGAACAGAATGGATTACGTTACTTGAAATATGTGTTCTCATTTTAATTCTGGGACGTTTATGTTCACGGTTTGTTGTTTTGTTTTTTAGATTAGATTTATTGTTTATGGTAAATGTATAAGCCAGTTTAGAAAACTTTAACATATTTCACATTCAGATTGCAGTGAGCAGCAAAAGAATTTTATTTCAACAAAATCTTCATTAACAAGAGAGGCTTATAGCCACATCACATTGAAACACCAGTTTTTGTACAATTACTGAAGTTAAGTAACACTGAGCCTGATCAGTAGCTAGATGGGTGACCACTCAAGAATACCAGGTGTCGTAAACTTGGATGTGCAGGTGATATAAAGGGCTTACATCATGTTAAAACTCTAGTTCCTGTATGATCACTGAAGTTAAGCAACATCAAGACTGGTTAGTACTTAAATGGGTGACTGCTCAGGAATACCAGGTGCTGTAAGCTTGACTGTGTGGATGGTATAAAGGATTTACAGCTACATGTTAAAACATCAGTTCCCATACAATCACCGAAGTTAAGAAACATCAAGCCTGATCAGAACCTAGATGGGTGACTGCTTGAGAATACCAGGTGCTGCAACCTAGAATGTGTGGGGTGGTATAAAGGGCTTATGGCCACATCATTTTGAAACCCCTATTCCTGTATGATCACCAAAGTTAAGCAATGGTTAATTGGAACATCATGTTCCAATTCCCATCAGGATTGCTATATTTGCTTATGCACAAATACCCTTAGGAAAAGTATGAATCCACCACTTCTCCACCCAGCTATAGGTTAATTAGTAAGACTTGCATCACTAAACCATTATTATCTCCTAAGAAAAAATTTCTTAGAACCTAAAATTATTTTCTGTCTTGATAAGCCATAGAGAATAAATAAACATTAGCAAGACAAAATCTTATTCAATGCTTGATTTTTAAATGAATTTTCTCATTATAGCAATTAGATTGTAACTAATTTCGACTTTTATTTATGTTTAAGGGTTTATTTTAAAAGTGTTTTTTAAGGGATTATCCCACATTGTTTCAGTATTGATTTAGTGAGAACAGAGAATAAACTGAAATAGACCAGTTGTATAAATAAAATGTTTTTGCAGAACATTACACTTTCAATGCATCTTGATCTGACTAAACCATATTCACTTTTGTTAAAACAGCCTTGTCCAGCTGACTCTGCTATTTGAATAGTTGATAGCAGATTAATTGATGTTGGGTTCTTACAGCTACAGAAGACGTGGATACAAATATTGGTCAGAGCTACGAAATAAAGGAAGTTATGGAGAGCCATGATCGTCATAGAAGAAGAATGTATTTTAGACATTTGTCCAGATTTGGCTGTAAATTGAAGATGTTTACATGAATGCTTCCAATTTTTTCCTTTGAACACGTTTCTCTTTTGCAGTGTTCTTGGTCAAAAACAAGACCAAAAAAAATGTCAACTTAACCTGCATTATCTGAAATTTAAACAATCTCTGAACTTGTAAGCTGCAAGACAAACATTTCACAAATTTTACAATATTACTTATATGCTGTGTCTCTTCAGGATGTTTGCGATATTGGCTCTCAGCATTTTCCTGTCATTTTTAGACTTTATCTTTTTGTGATCTCTCCAAAACCCTGTTCTGTCATCCATTTACTCAGGCTCACTCATCAAGTCATGCACTGTTTTTCTCTGTCTTGCAAGTATTAAATTTTCCAAGCCCTTTTTCCTCATTATATGCCCTAGAAATTTCAACAATCTATTTCTGATTCTAAGTATAAGTGTCCTGTTTCCATCTTCTAAAATTTTGTCATTACTCACATGTTTGGTCCAATTGTGTCCTTAACATTCTTCTGTAGAACTACATGTCTGTTGCTTTAAGTTCCTTCATCTTTGAAGAGATTGTCCAGCATTCAAGGAGAACTGGTATTTCATAACAGTTCAGTACTCTTTTCTTTGTTTCTAACAAAAGTTTCTTGTTTCTTAATACTTTGCTTAGCTTTTGGAAAGCAGCTTTCACTATCCCAATGTGCCTTTGGATATCAGTGTTGCACTTTCCATCCTGGGTTAAAATGTTTCCTAGATATTTAATTTTTTGCACTTGTTTGATTTTGGTACCTGCAATTTGTAATCTGAAAATTTAGCCATTTGAATCAAATTTCATTCTCTTGTGGTAATGAGTATAACCGACCTTGTCCATAAAACAGAACTTTAAATTCATAAGCTCTACCATTTGAACTAAATCTACAAGAGTTCAATTCACCCTAGACTGATACATCAGGAAAAACTTAGCCCCATATTATCTGGTTTTAATCATAAAATACTACCTGTTTTTTTCTTTATTTTTAAACATAATGCAGGTATATATCTTGTTGGGATTAAACACAATGTTATTACAATCCATTCATTTGCTTAATACAGATAGCCGGTCACTTACAGCTCGTGTCTTGATAATAAAAACATTACTGAATCTCTACACTAAATCTGGATTGATGGATTTTGTATGTATAGACATTTTTTTTTCTGGTTTGTCTATTGACTTCATCAGAAATAAAATATGAGACTTAGAAATCGCTCACAGCAATTCAAAATAAATTTCTTCATGTATTTATCAATTTACATGTCAACCTGTTTTTCAAAACGGCTGTTCAATGAAAATAGTTAATCACATTCCAGACAGTGTGAGATCCTGCGGGCCAGTTAGAAATTGTAGTTTAATTGTTAAGATCAAAAGGTTTATTGTTTGCTTTTGAAAGGACCTGAATAATTAACTGTAATTTCACACAAAGAACTTCTGTGATGGGGAGTTAACATAATTTACATTCAGACAAATGTCTTCATCTTTGTTGTTGTTATCATGTTTTGACAGCAGCTGGTTTAAGGCTCCAGCTTCTAGGTTCAAGATTATCCCACTGTGTGGTAGCCTACTGCATTAAAGTATTGGTTCATGAATTTAGTTACTTAGTAAATATGAGTTCAATCTTTGGGCAAGGTCAGATAGACTTAGTCTACAGTCTGGTTCATGCTTAAATGCAATCTTCAGACCACTTGGTTTTGATCTCAGTGTCCAATATTTTATATATATATATATATATATATATATATATATATATATATATATATATATATTGTCATGCATAGACAGACTGTTTCACTGTATCACAGCTCATCAGTGTGGCTAGACATCCGATTACCTCATGCCAGGATCAAAACTAGGATGCAAAATTAGCCATCAGTAAAATTTTTACTTTGGATTTTAAAGAAACAAAAAATAATATTCTCCCAACATGACAGTTAATTCTGCTTTTAAGAAGAGACCTGTTGGTAAGAATATGCAAATAAATTTATAATTTCCTTCAATCAATTATATATATAATTAAACTTTCATATTTTTATTCAATTTTTGAGGGGAAATTATTGAGGCAGAAATATATTTCTTCATATTTAAAATTCATTTTAAATTCAAAGCAGTTTCAAAAAAAATCATTATCAGCATTATAAATTCCAGTTAAGCACTTTTTTTACATTTTGAGTGCTTTTTTTTGCTTGGTTTATTTTTTTGTTTTTCCTTTCTAAAGGAAAATGTTTTATCTTCATTGGCTTTCACTATTTGGCAACATTACAACAAATGAATAAAAATAAACATTAACTAATTTGAATTGCAGATATTTTTTTAGTCCTAAGCCAGAAAATTTATCTTAGATTGCTTGTTGTAGAATTCTTGACTCAATATGTAAGTTTCTTTGCCTTAACACAGACAACAGCAGATCAAAATGATAGAAACATTGCTTTGATTCCCTAACAGAAAAATGGTGGAAACAATAATAATCAGAGCAAACCATTCCTAATACAAGAGATTATATATATATATATATATAGACACCTCTAAACTGAATATCCGAGATGTTCAGCATTGAGGATACTGTTCATATTCGAGGAAGAAAAGGCTGCTGCTGCAAGCTTAAAATTTTTATTAAATTTTAGATTTTAGGATACAAAAGGTAGTTTGTAATGTTTTTCCGTTTTTATTTAAAATGTAGATTGAATATATAATTGTACAAAAAATAATTGACAACCAATAGTAATGAAAAAAATTTGTGCTAAACAAATGTTGTAATTTGTGAAAAAGTAAGACACTTTATGAAATGTTTAAAAATTCATGAAATATTCAAAAACAATTACAATCTGTAGAGGAAGTCAAAAATAAGGATATAAAGTACAACTCCTCTAAACCGAATATCCAAGATGTTTGGCATTGAGGGTACTGTTCTGGTTTGAGGAAGAAAAGTTTTCATATTTATTTCAAAACAAAAGTTTGGATTTGAAGATGTGTTCAAATTTGAGGAAGTCTAATTCAAGAAAGTCTAGATTTTGCTATGTTCATATTGTAGGGAATTCTACTCTGTGTGTGTGTATATATATATATATATATATATATATATATATATATATATATATATATGAATTAAAGATCAAATGTAGATTAAATATGGATCAGAATTCGATAGGATAATAAAATAAAACAATAGGAAATGTATATCAGTCTTACATTTTTCACTTTTATTAAAGCTTTGTCAGAGATTGAAAGAAAACAGACAAAAAACTCTCAATCTCTGACGAAGCTTTAATAAAAGTGAAACATGTTAGATAAACGTTTCTTGTTTGTTCACACACACACACACATTATATGATGATTGTCACTTCTTTGTAGAAGACGACCATCTTTTGGTAGTTTTTTTGTGTGTGTCTTTCATTCAGAATTTTATTATTTCCATCATTTTTACCTGATCTAATTCTCTTTTATGGGCCCTTAAGTCATTCTTAAGGCTAGCTTCATTTTTACAACTTCTCTTACACATGTGGCAAACATAAAGGTTGTCTGTGTTACGTATGGTTGAAAACTTGGCTGACCCTCTGTACAATCATGTGATGTTTGAGTCCTGCAATAGACTTACAAACCTTGTCAGAAAACACGCACAGGCAACCTGCATGTCTTTCTAGTAGTATTGCATCCACAGGTGTTTGCACTAGACCTCTCTGGTGTAACTAAATCAGCTGCTGAAAGGTTGACTTTTCCACAAATACTGCAAGTGTGTTGGCGTCCTCATTGCTCTTGGATAGATTCTATTTCTCCCTTCCTAATGGCACTCTTTGGCTGATTCACATTGAAAACTGAAGCAGCCAAAGAGAGCATACACACACACTCTCTCTCTCTCTCTCTCTGGCAAAATGCATCTTTGACTATATATATATATATATATATATATAGCACATCTTAAGACTATATTTCTTTATATATATATATATAGTGTATTTAGGCAACAGCTCTTCATTTATACAAGTTTAGTTAAATCCAAAAAAGTTCTTTTGTCAAAGAATTTTTTTTTTTTTTTTTCTAATTTAAATTGTCCAATGTCTGAATACTTTTGGCTTTCATAAGCCATCATCAAAGAGATTTTTATTGATACTGTTCTGATTATATGTAATCTAGGATTTTCTTTTGATAGAATTAATTCAGTTAATTTGACTTAAAAATTATTAAAAGTACAAATATTTGAAGAAAGTTTGGGAGATTGGAGACATTGAGGAGTGTGGAACCA